CACCCAGATTTCAGAATGCCTAGGTGCCCAAGCAGTGTGCCCCTGAGAAGGCAATGCATGAAGCTGTGAGAGTGAAACCACAGATGCAGTGGAAATCCCAGAAGTTTGGAAAATCCAGGAAATGGATCATCTAAGGAAACATGCAAGGAGGGAGTAAAGCCAGCCCAAAAGAGAAGCTTTGGGAGCTACAACCACAAGAAATGCCACAGGAGTAGAATCACCCAAGCCCTTTGGAATTCCCAGTTTGCCACAGATTGCTTCAGATGTTGGATGTGGAGCCACAAGACTCAATGTTTGCCCTGCTGGATTTTGGACTTGCTTTCATCCCAATGTATCTTTTGGAATGAAAATGTTTATCTTGTGCCACTGAATGTTGGAAGTATTTAACTTTGTTTTCATTTGTACAGGACTTGCAGCTAAGTGTTTGCCTTACATCTCAGAGGAGACTTGGGACTAGGACTTTTCAGCATTGCAAAAATTATCAGGATTTTGCTAACTCTTGCCAATGGACTAAATGATTTTTGCATAAAGGAATGTACATGAGGGTTTGGGGCACCAGGGACAAAATATTATGGTCTTAATGTAATATAATGTTGACAGACTTAATACTGGTTCATAAGGATTGTTAAACCTGTGTTATAATGTTCAAGCTGTGAAATGATAATAAGCATGTCTTTATATCTGGAGACCAATTTAAATGTGTCCCTTGCCAAGCTGACAAGGGCTAGATTTTAATGATCGATACGTTGTGTCAACTTGAGAAATTTAGAGGTTTAACTAATCAACCCAGCAAGGATCCAGGGTCCTTACTTTGTGAAAATTCTCATCTATGCAAGAGGAGGGCAGGCAGATGTGAATGCTACATCTGCCCTAGGTGATGCTTACAATGTAACGGAAAAAAAGAAACTTGGCTCGTCCCCCTTTTGCTCCTGCTGCTTTTGCTATCTTCTGCCACCTTGAAGTGTTGCCCCTCAACCATGCCACCCTGCTTTGGAGCCAGCTGATTATGGACTGAAACTTCCACAACCTGTAAGCTAAATAAACTTTTCTTTCCTTTACTTTAGGTGTTGGGTATTTTGTCTTAGCAATGAGAGAAAAGTAACTAAGACACAGCACCACTCCAAAAGGGAGAAACACAGGAATTGATACAAATAATACCAAAGAAAGACCAAAACCCAGCAGGGCAACTGTTAAATTGTAGAGCTGCACATCCAACATTTAGTGCAAGGTGTGAGATATGAGTTTCAACAGGATTGAGTAGCTCTACCTTTATGACGTTGCTAGATCTAACTCGAGCAGACATTCCACATTCCTGGCATCTCCAACTTTCTGTTTATGCCTCACAGAACTTCCTTTGCAATCTGGGGGAAAGCCTCCATGATGCCACAATTGCTGCATTCTGCATGCCTAAAAAACTAGTACCATGTGGATGATGCCAAGGTCTACCAGTAGGTCAAGCAGTAACCTACACACCTTGGGACATGGCTCCAGTAGCCTCTGAGTGCCTGCATATTATGGTTTGTCTCTGCATATCCTCATACAATCATAGGGCCAGGATTCTAGAATTTGTGATTGTTTCATGGTCCAATGGGCTTGAGTGCTACACCTACCCTAGGGTGTGTAGCCTACATACAATACAAGGAACAGAGTCTTCTTTCTGCACTCTCCTTTTTTCCTCCTGTTACTTTTGCTGCCATGAACTATTGTCCCTCTGCCACACCACCCTGCCTTGGAGTCAGATAATTAGATAATTAGATAATTATGGACTGAAACCTCCACAAACTATAAGCTAAATAAACCTTTCCTCCTTTAACTCTGGGTGTCAGGTATTTTGTCTCAGCAATCAGAGAAAAGTAACCAAGACACTGTATGATTGGGCACAGTGAAATAAAATAATCCTAGGGAACAAATTCCTTAGGGATCCCTTCTGGAAAAGGGTCCCCAGGGGATCTCTTCTCAAATGAAAAGTTATACTTTTGCACCTTTGAGCCTGTGGAGTCTTGCTGATTCTTGACATGACTTTATGTCATCTTTCCTGTTGTCCTGATGTAAAGTACTTGCCTTCTTTTTAATGTTAATCTTTTCAGCAACCACACTCTCCTTTGTCCCAGCTTTATAGTCACTTCCTTTTTCATCAAACTTCATATCACTCATCTCTGCTGTTTGTTCTTGATCCTTACTATCAATCTGGCTTAAACCAGTTGATGATATCCATGCCACAGCTTGAACACCGGCTGCCTTGAAATTTCCTCTGCCAGGTCAATTTGTTTGCTACCTTTAAGTTCAACCTCATGCAAAGTCTTAGATATATGTCTTACAAAATGTAAATACACCTTTGGTCAAAGTGTAACACTCATGACTTCCAGTCGAACTACCAGTGGAGTCCTTGTTCCCAATTGAAAACTCCTGATCTGGCCCTTACTGACAGCAATCTTACCAGCATTCTGATCTTTTGAGCTCCAACCAGAATCACCTATTGAGCTCTATTTACAGTATTCTAGGGCTTATCACCCATATCTCTAAATCTTCCCAAACTCTTCCTACAAATAAAGTTCCATAGGCTTTGGGCCACATGGTCAGACACAGTCATGGCAATGGCCCCACTCCTGGTACCAATTCTCTATATTAGTCAGGTTTCCCATCACTGGAACAAAATCCCTGACACTCATAACTTGAAGGAAGATAGGTTTATTCTGACTCAGTCTCAGTGGGCTTATTCCATGATTGGGAGGTACCAAGGAATAATGGCATGGTGAAAGCATAGCAGTGTAAAGGTGCTCGTGTCAAGGTGGACAAAAAACAGGATGGGAAGAGGAGCCAGGGACAAAAAAATACAACCTTTCAGGTCATTCCCCCAGTGACCTACCTCTTTTGACTGGGTTCTACTGCCAAACAGCACAGTCAGCTGTGAATTCATCAGCGGATAAGTATAGTACTGCTATTATCATCTTCCAAAATCCCTAGCTCTGCATAGGAGGCTTTTGGGCAACATTTCAGGTCTAAACCATAATGTGCCTCCTCTGGATGCCCTTTCAAGGCTGCAAACTCCATCTGCAGTACTTCTGTCTTCTCTGCTCTATTTTCCTCGCACCATATTCTGACCAATTTCTCTTCCATCTCCCTTCACTAGAATAGATACTTCATGAAGACAGGGGTTAGGCAATGTGTTCACTGCTGCACCCCAGTGCCTCAGATACTACTTCACTTTACAAGTAGCTCCAATTGTTATGAACTAAGTAAATGGACAAAACAGCTTCCCATAGCAACAAGAACTCAAAAGAAAATATACAGATATATGATAGGGATTTATAGAACAGGTGCAAGCAAGATGCATTAATTTATCTGAGAAGCATCAAGAGGAGCCTCATGGTGGTGGGGAAGAGGAGGAAGAGAGAAAGGGAGAGAGGCCTCATACTGGTGGTTACTTTTGAATGAGGCCCAAATGACAAGGGGCCAGGACATGTTGCCTTTCACTTCATGGAGGGCCTGGGCACAGTGCAAAGGCCCCAGGCTGGAGCACAAGCAGAAGGCAGGGTGGCTGAAGAACACAGGAAGGAATGCAGGGGCCAGAACCAGGAGGCTGGGCCACGCTGCTCTTGGGCCTATTTGCTCCCAGATCCAGCCTTTCCTTAGCCTGCTCAGCATAGGGTTGCAGGAACTGGCCTGATGGGCTGGACTCAGCACTTCAAGAGGAAATGCTGCCCAGGGTTAGGCGTAGAGGAAACCAAGGCAGTTCCTGAGCCCTCCTGTCTTAGTGATTTTTCTCTCCTTGCGGAGACAAAATACATGACACTCAAGGGAAGGTTTGTGGAGGTTTCAGTCCATGATCAGTAGGCTGCAACAAAGGGTGGCGTGGCAGAAGGATAACAGTTTTAGGAGGCAGAAGACAGCAAAAGCAACAGGAGCAAAATGGGGAAGAACAAGCTTCCTCTCCTTTACATTGTAAGCAGGCTACCAGTCCACCCCCTAGGGCAGGTGTAGTGCTCACACACCTCTGCGCCCTCCTCTTGCACAAGATATTTACAAAGTGAGGACCCTGGTCCCCTGCTGAGTTGCTTTGTTAAATTTCTTTCTTTCTTTCTTTCTTTTTTTCGTGGGGGGCTGGTCTCAAACTCACAGCAGTCCTCCTGTCTCTTCCTCCCAAGTGTTGGGATTATAGGCCAGTGCCACTAGGCTGGGCATTATTAAATTTCTAAACCTTTCAAATTGACACACTATCAACCATCACACCTCCTCTCCCTGCCTTAGAATGCAGCTGCCAACCCTGCCTGGCTCCACCCCTCACGGCAAGGCTTCAGCCAGGTGATCCAGCTCCTTCCTCCCACTGGCAGGATGGCAGCTTCCGGTGGCCCGCTGTCCTCTAGGCTGCCTCGGGTTGTGCCCTCAGCTCCTTCCATCAGCCGTGTGGCCACCCTCCCGTGTCACAGCCAATCTGCTTTACCCGGAGTAGTTTCTGTCTTCCTCGAAGATGACTGACTGATTCCAAGTGCTCTGAACGAAAGGATGTGTGGACTAGTGGAAACCGACAGTCAGGGGCTGCGAACTTGTCCTTCACCTAAAGATTTGTCCTCAGCATGCGCAGGGGCAGCTGCAGGTAATCGGTGGAAATAACTGAGGACCTCTTGGCTTAAAGAGGGTCCTGCCACACAGAACTGAGAGAGAAAAAGAGCTCGATCAGAAAGGCTGCGCGCTGAGTGACAGGGAACAAGATGCCTGGGAAGGCCGCTGATAGTCTACTCTGGGGTCCAGAAAAGAGCATTTTCTGAATAAACGCATGAGGTTAGACTTGCATAAATGTTAATCCCATTGGGAATGGGGGAGGGGTGGAGGCAGGGAGCGAGATCTCAGTTTATAAATAAACTCTCCGCACGCGCTGCAGTGTCACGCACGCACTGGATGCAGGCGCGACCCGGGCAGTGACGCGGCCGGCCGAGCGCTGACCTCCAGCCAGAAGCCGGGGCAGGAGGCGGGGTTGCGGGGCGCTCGCCACGCCCGCGGGAGGAGCCCGAGCCGTGCGCCCCACGTGGTCCATGGCGGGGTCCGCGCCGGGGTGGCGGCTGCTGCCGCTCGCCACGCTGGCCCTGGTCGTCCTGGCGCTGGCCCTAGGGCTGCCCGCGGCCCAGGCCGGCCAGACGCCGCGGCCCGCCGAGCGGGGGCCCCCGGTACGCCTGTTCACCGAGGAGGAGCTGGCGCGCTACGGCGGCACCGAGGTAGGCGGTGGCTGCGGCGGGGGCCGGGCCGCGGGGATCGGGGCCGCGCCCGCAGGGAGCCGGGCAGGGCCTGGCCTCCGCTCTCCAGGGCCTGCAGTGGCCAGTGTGGTGGGCCCTGCGCCCTGCGCCCCGCGCCCCGCCCGGCCGCGGTTTCGCTGGTGACCTTGGCCTTTCAAGGTGGCCTCATTAGGCGGCCACTCCGCCACTCCCTGGCTGGGGAGGAGTCAGGCCCTCCCTGACTTCCTTTTCCTGCTCCTTCCCAGGCCGCCTCCAATCCGCATTTCATGTCTGTGTCTTTGGGGGTGATCTGAGCTGGGAGCCAGGCCAGGGGGGAAAACTGGAGATTAGAGATAAAGGCCCCCCACACACATACACTCACACACACACACACACACACTCTCTCTCTCTCTCTCTCTCTCAAAAATCACAGCCCGTTGCCCCCAGCCAGCCTAGCGGGGTGGTTATCTGTGCAGGACCCCTGGGCTGCTGTGAGAAGTGCCAGGGATTGGGGGTGTGGGATGAGGGTCCCCTCTGGTGGGGAGAGGACGCGGTCTCTGTACCATGGCATTTCAGAGCTGACAGGAATCAGTCTCCTGCTCTTAAGATGGGGAACTGAGGCACCACACGGTGGAGGAGGGTCTGAGGACCTGGGGAGAGGAGGAGTTGTGACACCCTGTGAGTGGATGTTAAGGGACATCTCTGGGAGCAGCTTAGGGAACCCAATGGTGCAGAGTCAGGGGCTTTGAGCAGAAAAGAGGTCACTCAGCAGGCTGCTGTCTCCGAAGCACCTGTCCTGGTTGGTGTCTTTGTTTCCTGTGTTCCCAAGCTGCCCTGTCTAGGAGGGAGGCTCACTGTGCCCAGGCTGGATGCAGGGACAGTGTATTTTATGTTGAATATGGTGCATCACAGCATCCTGCCTCTCCCCCATAAACATCTTGGGTGCTGAGTGTTGGAAAAGTGGGACTGAATCAGATGGAAGACGCTTAGCACTGAGGGGCTTGGAAGGCAAATAGCTTTATTACACTGGCGGATCTATGGGCATCTCAGTCCCAAGTCACTAGTCCCATCTTGGGGTTAGTAAAACATATATATTGCTAACAGGAAATACAAGAAACTAGCAGGAAATACTAAAAAGGCTGACAACAGGACTTTTTATGGTTGGTTGCATATTGTCATATGTTGCTAGGCAACTCTGGCTCAGGTCAGTTAACTGGGGATCTTCTGTTCTGTAGTAGGAAGGTGAAGGCTAGGGTGAGCGGAAGGAATTACATCTTAGACTGAGCCGAGCTGCCTCTGGGTGATGTCCCCCTGAAACCTTGGGACGGGTTAGCATGACAAGGTGCAGTCTGGTCTGAGTTAGACTTTTCTTACCTGCTACAGCTGGCATTGGAACGCCAAGGCTAGCCGAGTTTTGCCGTTCTCTAATTATGGGACCAGGCTGTGCCTGCCTTTCCCATCCTTGAAAATAGTGGCCGACTTACAAGTAAAACTTGTCAGTTTTAAGATTTTCTTTATATTTACAGTCTCCTTTGCAGAGTCTCCAGGGTGCCCCAATCACAAGCACAGCCCACATGGTTGTCTTACTGTGTTGCTGGAGCAAAAGTGTCATCAAGGGAGAGAAGGAGCCCAAAGGGGCTCACACATGGATTCTGTCACATTCCGCCACGTGCTGAGCTCTTCAGATGGGGAGTGGTCCCCCAGCCCAGAGTACAAGGGGGAGAGAGTTCAACAGTGCCGCGTATTCTGATGTTGATGTGATAGCTTGATACTTAACTGAAGCAAGGAGAGAGATGCTTGAAGGGGAAGCAGTTGCAGGAATGAATTGTTTAGGGGTGGAGCCCTGAAGATGCCTTAGCCCACAGGGAGGAGGTGGCAATCGGAGCAGTGTGTTGGGGGTGGATGGAGCGGCCCTTTGTCCTAGATGTTCCAGTCTTATCCACCTGGGCTTTGCCACAGTTTGCATATTGCATGATGGGGTTCCCCTACAGTAGGCCTTTTCCGCTGGGTCATATGTGAGCTGGAGTTCCAGGTGTCCTCACCAGGTCTCCATGTTTTCATCTGCAAGGTGCTTGTGGTAGTTAAAATTCTGCTAGAGAACAGAACCCAAAGGATATACAGAGAACAGACAGACAGGCAGAGATGTGACTTACTGCAAGGAACTGTGCACGTGATCTTGGAGGCTGGCTAGGGAAGTTGGGAACCTGCAGGGCAGCCCCAAGGAAGGGCTGGCTGCACCTGCTCAGGCAGGAGCTGCGGCTGGAGCCTGGAGGTGGGATTTCTTCTTCTTTGGGAAAACTCATGGGTTCCTAAATGACCTGATCCACAACCCCCATGGTCTGCAATAATCCCCTTCCATAAAGGCACCTGAGGGTAGAGATCCACCACGTCTACAGAATACCTCCTCAGCTGCACCAGGGCTCGTGTCTCATGGAATAACTGGGTGTCCCCCACACCATCTGTGCAAAGTGACACACACTGCTGACTGTCACAGTGGTCCTAACAAGGGCTCCTGCTCTCGACAGGCAGTCTGTGAAGGTTAAAGGAGACGGTGATAGGCAGAGGCCTGGCATAATGCTTAGCAGAGCAAACCCTAGTACATATTACTTGCTGTTATTTTTATTAACTTATTGTAAAAGCTAATTGAGAGCATCAAAGGAGAAACCATCTCAGTCTTGTCTATTATTTTCTACTTCCTTGTGGAAAATCTGTTGATAAATTCACCCCTTGATAAACCTCAACATCCTTGAAGAGGTTACCAACACCATCCGTAGTTGGAAAACCTAGCTGCTGAATATTAGAAGGCAGAGGTTCTCCTGCAGACAAAGAGCATCTGCGACCTTCCCTCTTTTCTGAAGAGAAGAGGTCCCTGGAGGAGCCCTTCTGTCCTCGCTGAGGGCTGAGGGTGCTGCAGCCTCAGAGCCTCTGGCAAACAGCTGGATCACCTCCCTGCCCACAGCTCTGGCTGTGGCTTCCTCTGCTTGTGTGTCCACATGGCTATTGTGGCACTGCCTGTTGGCCTCTGCTTGACCACAGACAAGAAGGCGGCTCAGCTGGCCAAGCAACCCCAACATCCAGAGGTGACAGAAGGCCCTCATCTCCTTCCCAGGCAGTGGCCCTGGCTTCCTCGTCTGGCATCTCTGACCCACTCCCTGTCTTTCTGGGTGATTGGCTTCCCCAGAGACTCAATGTAACCTGCTAAGGGCACGCATGGTGAGACAGGCAAGAGGTCCAAACCCCCAAGGTCCAGAGCCCTCTCTCCCTGATCCACTGTGATGGGGACATGACACTGAGGTGGAAAGGGTCAGTGGTAACATTGTTCCTGAATGTCACCCCTTTCCTGTTCAGCCCATAGAAAAGTGCTAAGGGCCAAGGAAAAAGCAGAGAATGGAAGCAGACAGAACACCACAGTTAAATGACAACCGTAGCTTATTTTTTAAATTGCTATAAACACATATAAATAGTCACAGTGGAGGAGGAGAGCAGTAAATCCTCACAAAGACAACTGCAGCTGCTGGCTTGTGACCCATATGTGAAAATTACTCTGTGAGGAGGAGAAGCCAGCCTGGGTGAGGTCAGTGGATGTTGTGGGGGCTGTTGTGGGAGCCCCCTTGTTGTGTGGGCCAGGTGACAAGTAGTTTCCCTCCTGCAGGGTAGGTAGGTGGCATCTTGGGACACTTAGAGAAACTGAGGCCTTGGAGGTGATGCGCCCAGGAGAGATGGTTCCTTGAGTTGGCTGCTTAGCCTCTCTGGCCTCGGATCCTTTCTTAAATGTGCTCATGAGGACACTTGGCCATAAGCTTCGAGATCGAGAGCAGGAACTGGAAGGCCACCCAGAGAGAAGTCATGAACCCAAGATTCATGGAGACCCAGCAGTGACTTCTGTACTGTACTGGAGCCTCCTGCCTGGGTCCCTGCACCCTGATGGGGCTGAGATGGGAGACCAGTCCTGGCCTGAGCTCACGGTGATAAGAGTTAGAAAAGCCAACCATCCCTCCGTTTCCTCATTCCCTCTCTCTCTCAGTGGTAGTGGTAGGCTTTCTGAGTCACGTTTTATACCTGCTAATATAGCTTATATTTTCAGTACTGTACATTGTTTATATCTCTGAAGGACAAACAGACAGGCATGAAGTGGTCACATTGCATATGTAATGTTTGGCCCAGGAATTCCAAGTGTTGAACTAGGCCTCAAGGAAGTCACTGCCCAAATTAGATAGTAATTTGTAGGAAGATATTCATAATGCTGCCATTTATAGTTCCAAAGACTTGGAATCACCCTAACACCCAAAATAGAATCTGCTACTGACGCAGGTGCGGAGTCACTCGTGAGAGAGGTCCCGGGTGGCCCTCTGAGTGACAGCTGTGTCCAGCTCACAGGAATGTTATGTGAGGTGATGCTGCTGCTGCAGAGTGAAGTACAAAGTGGCCGTCTACACCGAAGGCCGCTATGCATGTCCACTGCAGATGCGGGACTGTGGGCTGATTGACACCTCTTGTCGATTAATATTCTTTAGAATTTTATCTGCATAAAGTTGCTTTAGTTCCTGGTCCTTTTAAAAGAGCGATTGTCAGTTTCTTGCTGTGATACACTGTGCCTTTTCCAGGGCTTTGCCCAGTAGGTAGTGAGCTCACCAAGGACTGGGTGGGGGCCTTCAACCATCCCAGAAGAAGCTTTACAGACTCTGCCGCAGAATCGGGGCCCTCAGGGGTATCTCCATGGCTTCTCCTCTGCTTTCTAGGAAGATCAGCCCATCTACTTGGCGGTGAAGGGAGTGGTGTTTGACGTCACTTCTGGAAAAGGTAAGTGGCTTGGAATTTTGAATCTTTATTTCAGGGGCACTCAGAAGCCAGCATGGGCACTTGGAGAGGGAATGCTGGGCAGGTTCTTCTTTCATTTTAAGTGGCCAGATTGAGTTTGTCATTGTCACTGGTTTATTTCTGTCCCCTTACCTGACCTCATTAATGCCATGCTGCTATTCAAAAGTCTTCCATCCAGCCGGGCATAGTGGCTCACGCCTGTAATTCCAGCACTCGGGAGGCTGAGCTGGGAGGATCGCTGTGAGTTCGAGACCAGCCTGGGCTGGTGAGCTCAGGCCAGCCTGAACTGCATAGCGAGACCTTGTCTCAAAAAAGACAAAAAAAAAAAAAAAAACAAACATGGCTCTCCACTGCCTATGCAGTCAAATTCAGATCTGAAGATTTACTCTGGTGAAGCTCTGAGGAAAGTATTTTTCAGCAAGGAGTTGGCATAGGAAGACATTCTAGAACATTCTAATGCCCTTTAGCAGTTTCCCTAACTTGGAACCTACAAAGGAAGTAGTTTGGTAATGTTTGTCTTTTTTTATTCTGTTGTTGAATAGAAGCAGACTTGACTTCCACCGGCATTTAAGAAGGCTGGATATTCTTTTTGTTTGCATTTGACCTTTTCTAAAAATCACCTCAGCCCCGCATTGTGACTTAGCCCATAGTTTGAGTTTGTGGAACCCAGCCTGCGGGATGTGGGGGGCTGGGCTTGTCTTTGCCATCCCTTTGTCTGTCCGCAGGCCTGGAGCCTGTCTCGGCATTGAGTAGGACCTTGGAGTCCCCGTACTCGCACTCCCACGCTCTTCCTTCCTCCCACTCCAGAGTTTTATGGGCGAGGAGCCCCCTACAATGCCCTGGCTGGGAAGGACTCCACCAGAGGGGTGGCCAAGATGTCACTGGACCCTGCGGACCTCACCCATGACACTGTGAGCTGGATGCTGAGCTGTTGTCACTGTGTCCCCTACCTGCAGCCATGGCCATTTTTTTTTTAACGTTTGTGCAATTGCAAAGCTTCTTAATTAACCTATCTCCCTCTGGCCCACTTGGGGCGCTGGCTAACCATGTTCTTGAATTAGATTATCTTGCGTAGAATGCTTCCTAAGGAACTTTCCATGGCTCCCCTTTGCCGAGAGTCATGTTCAAACGCTTGTTAGGTCGCAGTCCTCACAGTCTGGCCCCAGCCTGCCGTGGTGGCCCAGTTGTCCTTACAGCCTCACCCTGGTGGGGCTCCCCCAACCCCTGTCAGGTTTTCTCGTTATCTCTGAGACCCACTCCCGGGCCACTCTTGATAGCTGAGTAGATGCACCAAGTTGAGAAGCAAGGTCTCTCCCATGTCTGTATTTCTGCAGAAGAGAAAATAGCACTGAAAAAAAAAGTAAACCCCACAGTAAGGCTGGTTCATCCCAATGGGGCTTAGCGTTAAATTGACATTGCAATAAAATAGAAATGAGCTGAACTCTTAAGTCACATTACAGAAACAGATTATGAAAAGGGAAGTGTTTTAGTCAGCTTTCCATTCCTGTAACAAAATAAGATTACCTCAAAAAAAGAAAAGATTTGATTCAGGCTCACAGTTTCAGAGGTCTCTGTCCATGATCAGTTGAACCCATTACTTTTGAGCTGTGGCAAGACAACGCTTATCTCATGACCAGGAAGCAAAAAGGAGGAGGGGCTCTTGTCCCATAATCCTCTTCAGGGACCAGGTGACCTGACTTCCTCCTGCTTGTTAGCGGTCCCTCGGCGCTCAACAGCGCCCTCTTGAGCCCACGCACCCCTAGTACAGGGATCTTCCAGGTCCAGACTATAGCAAGAAATGTCCGTGACTTATAATAGGAATGTAGAGTGTGGTGAGATTAACCAGGAAGGAGCGCCCAGCGCACACCCCAGCCCACCCCAGGGCGAGTGTTCTCTGGTTTTTAATTCTTGGATCAGTTAAGCAACAAAAAATGACGCTATTGCTCCCCCACACTATCCCCATCTGCACACACTGGGTTCTTCTAAAAAGCCCATTGTCCATTATTTGTCACTGAGATATTTTTCCCTTGCTCTTGGGCACGGAGAGGACAAGGCGGGGATGAGGAACGGTAGCTGTCACCCACAACTCATTCATACATCCCTGTGCTTCCTGGACCCTTTTCTTCCCAAGACGGGGCTTACAGACAAGGAGCTGGAGACCCTGGAAGACGTCTTCACCACAGTGTACAAAGCCAAGTACCCCATCGTCGGCTACACAGCCCGGAGGATCCTCAACGAGGACGGCAGCCCCAACCTGGACTTCAAACCCGAAGACCAGCCCCATTTTGACATCAAGGATGAGTTCTGATGTCCCATTGGGGGTGCGGCTCCTTGGGAGGTACAGTGGGGGGACAGGCGCTAAATCTCCCACAGACCCGTCGGCCCAGTCTGAATAAAGCAGCTGTTGGCCCAGAGCGGCAGCTGCCTTTTACAGTCCTCGGTCAAGAGCGCTGTCCACCCAGACGTCCCTGCCTGCACACTGCAGGGTCCTCAGCATAGCCACCACCTGCATATCAGCATCGGCCACCTGGGCACTGGATTCTGAGTGACCTTTGAGTCTTTTTTATACTTTTCTGTACTTGGCAAGTTTTCTATGCGATCCCATTTATAATAAGAACAAAAATAAACTTCCTGTTGTTACAAAAATAGAATCGTTCTGCAAGAGCCACCTCCTTGGGGACTCATGATACCCTCTGTACATCTGCCTGTCTGTCGTCCTGCTTTCCTGTCCCCCTGTCTGTGTAGGGACCTGGTATCAGGGCCTGCACAATCAGGATGGTGGGAGAGGAGAGGGGTTGGTGGGGAGGGTGGGCGACGGGGAAGGGAGAGAGGAAGGGTGGGGGCTGTGGCTGGAAAGAGGTGTGGAAGCCAGAGCCCGGCAGGGCAGAGCCTGGCCAGGGTCCTTCCAAAAATGGTGACGCACATCCTGGGCTGCAATCGGATTTCAGGAGGACACTGGGGAAGGTCTGGAGACATTTGCATTTTTGGTTTTCATGACTACAGGAGCATTCTGTAATGCACAAGACCCCCCAACCCCCATCATAGAGAACCTGGTGCAAATGCTGGCCGTGGAGAAGCTGAAATGCCCTGCGTTAGGCTGAACTAGCAACTCCACAGCAGCAGTGGCTTCCTTGGCTGTAACACCTTGGTATTTACAACATAAATAGCAACCACCTTCTCCAAAGAGAATTTCATGTTAAGCAGAAGAAAGTCCATTATGCTAGTTCCTGGGTCTTGCCCCTTGGGTGTATGGTTCAGTGTTTCTGGGAACCGCATTTTTAGTGAGCAGCCTGGGAAAGCATGGGATGCGTGGTGAGAGACACCCACAGGTCCCCTCGGGGAGCACTAGCCTGGCCCCTTCCTGAGCACCAGCCCCGCCTTTGCTTTTCTCCTTAGCTAGTATGATCCAGGGCTGGGGAGTCTTGGAGCAGACACCTGGGTGCCACTCAAGATGCTTCGTGGGCACCCAAGAGTGATGGGCCCAGAACTTAGCAGATAGGACCCTGGCCAGGGATTGTAGAGGTTGCTCGTGCAGCCCAGTTAGCCTGCAGCAAGACATTTTGCCCTCCATCAGGTGATACATGAATGAGCACAGATGGTGTCCAAGCCCTCGGGGCCTCTGGAAAGAGGACCTCTTCCATGTGGGCGCTCACCACTTCCCATCACCATGTCCTAGACCCGATCCGTGTGGCAGGGTGAGGTCTCCAAATTCAAGCCATGCACTTAGAGAACCACTCCCGCCCTTGGCCGCACCATAGCAATTTCCCTCTGGGTCCTGGACACGCTCTGTGGGACTGACCTGTAATGGCCGCTGGACCAGGGAAGGGCCAGACTGTCCCCCCCACCTCCAAGAGAAGGAAGCAGCTGTGGTTATTTTCCTAGGGAAGAGAAGGCTGAGGGAAACAATGGGGCTGTGGACAGGCTGGACACTGTACCTGTCCTCACGCAGGTCCAAGACCAGCATCTCTGATGGACGCTGACACTTGCCTCCAGTCGGAGCCCAGCACATGGAGAGTTGCTGATATCCCTGTCATCTGTGAGATTCCTGCCCAAATCTAAGTTCTTTCTGCTGAGTTGCAGCCTTCCTGTACCGGCTTGGGAGAAGCTCGGTCCTCAGCATCCCAGAAAATGTCTGGGAGGAGGAAATTGTTTTTAAAAATCCGCTAAACAACAAAGGCCAGAAGCATAGAACCACTGCAAAGCCATTAAAATAAGACCCCTAATTACCGAAGGGCCTTGGCTGATGAGGCAGCCCGACCACACCCCCAGGCCCTCAAGGCCCAGGGTCACTTAGAGCTCATGGGGCCGGGTCCCAGCCTCTCCCAGCGAAGCCCTGCAGATTCCTGGAGTCACACCTTGCACCTGCGTCCGGCACTTGCTTCTGGGATCTCCTCGCTACCTCCACAGCTGCCAGGAGGAAGAAAGGTCTGAGTGGAGCCAGCCCACCCTCTGCATCGGTTCCCTGGCATTGTTAAGTCCAGTCTCTGGAATGTGTGGCCTGCAGTGCCCTAGCTGCCCATGGGACTTCCGGAAGGGCTGCACCTGGAATCTGAGCTCAGAGCCTTATCCTTGGAAGCAGTGAGTACCCGGCTCCAGGCTGTGAGGCTGGAGACCTCTGATGGCTGCTGGTGGCTTCTTGCAACCTGGATCTTGCTTTCAAAGGTCCAGTACTACAGGCAGAAGCTGTCCCCACAGTCCCGCCCAGGACATCCAATGTCTACTTCATGCCCGCTTTCTGGGTCACCTTCACAGCCTGACACCCACCCATATGCAGTCTCTCAATGCCTGTTTCTGCTTTTCCCCTGGGCTCCCTGGGCTGCTCAAGCCATCTGGGTATCGGCATCCCTGGGGACCCTCCCAGCTGGCAGGCGCCTGGGTGAGCAAACCCTGCCTATGGCCCCAGAACTCATTTTTTGTGCCTTCTCAGAGGGGCTCAGGTGATACCAGAAGTCTGTGTTCATCAGGTTTCTGCCGCTGTGACAAAATACCTGACAGTCAATTTTAAAGGTGGAAAGGTTCATTTCGGTTCATGGTTTCAGAGCATTCAGTCCATGGTTAGTTAGTTCCATTGCCTTTGGGGACCAAGCCCTCAAACATAACCCAACTGCGCACCGTGGTGTCAGCTCAACAGCACACCCTTGGGGTGGCTAGATCGCTTCTCAGTTCCTTTGTTCTACTCCCCAGTGCCAGGTCCCATGGATCACTTCCCAGACGAGTGTGCCAGCGCCCAACCCCATCCGATCCTCTGCTCTGGGGGAGAACTCACACTGAGACACGTTAATGTCCTCAGACACCAGCAGGACCCCAGGACGCCAAACTCCGGTGCACTCTCACTCTCTAGCTTCACTTGCTTGTGGCAGACTTGTTCCGGAGGCCACAGCTGGACCACACTTCGTCACCGGCCTCGCCCTCGCTTTGCTGTACGATGACAGCCTGGGTTACATTGCAGAACCCTGAAGGCTACGTTGGCTAAAGCCTGGGCTTCGCTGGGGCCTGCAGGTCCCTGATGGGTGACTGAGAACAGGATGAGGAGCTGTGTCTCTGTTTTCGTGCTGTATCTTTCTTTTCCTCCGCCCTGTGCCATTTAACTGGGCACATTTGCCTGTAAGTCCCAACACTGCTGGAGGCTGAGACGGGAGGAACCCAAATCTGAGTCCAGTGTGGGTGATTTAACAAAACTCTGTCTCAAAATAAAAAGGCTGGGATGTAGCTCAGTGCGAGAGCCCTGGTTCATCTCCCAGGTTTAAAAAAAATGTTTCATTCAGAAGTGTAACAGTGTGAACTCGGCTTATTGCTCATTGGAGCTGGTATATATTTTCTTTCCGTTTTTCTCTTCCTCTTTTCTGCCCCTCCCCTGTGCCTCTTTGGCAGCCAAAATACCTGACAGGTATTCTGTGCTGGCCAGGGCATTCTGTGCTGGATAGCGGCACCAGCTACATCCATGCCCCTGGCCAAAGGAAGTGACCAGACTTTAGCCCACACCAGCAAATCCATAAACCCACGCTGTGTTCTCTGAGCAGCTTGGTCCCACTCCCATGGGTGTGGCCCCCTGTTGCAAAGCCCCAACTCTGCCAATGCCCCATCCCCACGACCCCTGAAAGTTTGCCTGTGGGCTTCTCCTGGGGGTTGACCTGGCCTCCTTCCAACCATCTCTGGGTCAAGGGTCTTCCATGGCTCCCTCCTCAGTGTCCAGGCTTCTCAGAGTCCCGGGGACAGTTTGTTCCCCAGCAGTCCCTCTCCCAGGGCCCCACAGTTTTGGCCTCTGCTGTGCTCTGTGCCCCTGGCCTTTGCACTTGCTGACCCCTCTGCCTGGATGGTCCCCTAGGCCTGTCTACATTGCCTGCATGCAAAATTCTCCCTTGGTCAACAGTGCAGCCACCAAGGGCACTTCCCCAGGCCTCTCCCACCTGCAGCCGGCCACTGCTGAGCTGCTGGTGTGTTTTGCTCTGCTTTCCAGCCAGGCAGGGTGTATGGCTGGTTCACAGCTGCTGTGTCCCCACCCAGGGACCTCATCGCCCAAGGAGAGGCACGAATGTCACACAGGAAAGGCATGATGCCCTGGCCGCACCCCTTCCTTCTGGGTCTGTCCCCTGTGAAAGCCTACACCCAGGTGCTTCACACCTCCTGGGATGCCAGGCAGCTCCCTGCCCTGCTGTGCCCAGGTCTCTGCAGCACCCGCCTGGGCACTGCGTGCAGGATCCCTACTGGGCCGGCCTGGTCTGAGCGTCACTTCAGCCTCATCTGGAAAACAAGCATGTACAAATAGTAAGTGGTTTCCCTGCAACCAGCACGGGTGGCCCAGGAAGCCTCGAGCAGGCGGAAAACAGTCACTGCCCTCACTGGCCAGTGTCCAGCCCTGGTGGCTCGGGTGCCAGTAGAGTTCCCTCTCCCAGCCTGGTGGCTCCCTGGGAACCCCTGCTTTGGAGCCCAGAGGGGCCCTGCTCCTGTCACCTCCTGTGCCCTAAGCCCCACTCTGCCCTAGGTCCAGTGAGTCTATCGCTTCCTGGCTGCCCACTCCAGTGTGGCTGAGCGCTGCGAGGCATGTTCTGGTCCTGGGTGTGGCCTCCTGCATTTGATTCACAGGGGCCAAAGTGAGTGGTAGGAAGGATGAGTGACAGGCCAGGGGACCTGTGACCACCCGAGATGCAGGAGCAGGGGTTCCACACGCACCTCCCTTCTGTCCCTGACTGTTTCTACTCTGCCTCGATATAGAGGAAGGTGAGTCTTCTGGGGGACCCCACCCCCTGGCAGAGGCTTGGAAATTGTGGGCAGGAAGGCATTGTGAGGTTCTTTGGCGAGACTTCTTCTTCTTCTCCTTCTTCTTCTTCTTCTTCTTCTTCTTCTTCTTCTTCTTCTTCTTCTTCTTCTTCTTCTTCTTCCTCCTCCTCCTCCTCCTCCTCCTCCTCCTCCTCCTCTTCCTCCTCCTCCTCCTCTTCCTCCTCCTTCTCCTCCTCCTCCTCTTTCTCCTCCTCCTCCCTTCTTCTTCCAGCTCCTCCTCGCCCTAGACTAGGGACTTGAACCCAGGACCTTTGCACTGAGCTACACGCTCAGCCTTTTCTATGCCTTTATTCTGAGATGGGTTAGGGGGTGTCTCTCCAAATTGTCCAAACTGGGATCAAATTTGTGATCTTTCTGTCTCAGTCTCCCAGCGTGCTGGAATTATGGATGGGCACCATCCACCACATGTGGATCAATTCACTTTTTTTTATTAATCAAGCATTTATTGTGCTCCAGGGTTCTCAGGATTCTGCTGATCACAACAGTGCCCTCGGGGAGACCCCTGGGACTAAGGTATGGACTCAGACATCACCCCAGGGGGCAGTGGGAAGAGGGCTGGTGTGGGGCGCTATGAGCCTGATGGTGGCAGCTGTCTGTGAAGACACCCAGAGCGCCCTGTTGCTGCCCCTGGCCCCACTTTCCTGAGCCCCTCCCTAAACTGCCAGCCCCACCCTCTTACCTCAGGTCAGGAGGTTTCCTCTCTCAGTAAAACATGTGGCTCTGCTGACGAGCTGAGTCCTAGACAACCAAAATGGAGTCACTCATGCTAACTAACACTAACTAACTAACACTAACACTCACTAACTCACTCATGCTAACTAACACTAACTAACACTCACTCCTGCATCACCAGACCAACCCCGAGCAGTTACCCTAAGAGCTCTGCCCTGCGGAGCAATCAAGGCCCAATAGACCCCAGGAGGCGGCGCGATGCCTTTAAAACCACCGTCCTCGAGCCGCGTGCTCTGGACCCTGCCTGGTTCACGAACCGCTGATGAAAGCTAATTAGGTCTGTAAAAGCCAATTCATTAACATTTTATTCCCTGGTACTTTCTGCAATTTATGAATTACAGCTGATTTCACAAGTCTGTTAATTAAACAGCCAGATGCATATGTCTTGTGCCCGCGGTGTATCCCGCGCGCGTAGCTGGGAGCTGGGTCCTGGGGCTGGGCTGGAAAACACAGGCAGGAATCACACACACACACACACACACACACACACCCTGCCCCCTGACACACACACACACACACACACACACACACACACACACACACACACACACACACACACACACACCCTGCCCCCTGGTGGTGAACCTAGGGCCTTCACACAGAGCCATATCTCCAGCCCTCATTTTTATTTTTATTTGGAGACAAGGGACTCACTAAGTCACTCAGTGAGCCAGGCTGGGCTCTCTCTCAGCTCTTCCTGCCTCAGCCTCCAGAGTGCTGAAGATTACAGGTATGCACCACCATCCCCAGCTCCCGTCCTGCTTTTAAGGGTTCCCAAGGGCAACAGTGAACTGGGTTGCGAAGCTCCAGGACCCAGACCCGGAGCTGTTTGTCAGTGGGGTCTCCGAAGGGTGCCCTGGGGCAGCAGGTGCCGGAATCCTGAGACTATCTGCGCGGGACGACGGCGCCCCCTGGCGGCGGGTGTGCTGAACTCCCCGGCAGTTGTTGGGCAAAGCCCGGAGGATTAGGCTTGTCTGCGGAGCTTCTATTTTCGGTTCCCACTGTTTCCATAATGAAAAGCTAAGAGGAGGAGCCGCATGGCTGCCAGGGGACCTGAGCTATGCTCCCCGGCTCTCTGTACCCCAGGGTCACGCCTGCCCTTGTTCGCACATGTCAGATCTCTCTGGCTCAAGGACCCCAGAGCAGCTGGGCTGGCCTGGCAGAGCTGGGAGGCTGCATGGACAACACAGTGACGTGTTGGAAAGAACACTGCACCCAGCGTCAGGAGCCTGGGTGGCATCCATGCCTGCTGCTGAGATAATAATGACAATAATAGCCACAATTAACCAGCACTCACCCTGGCTCGGGCCTTGAACCCAGAGCTTTACCTGCTTGGCCCCAGGAGGGCGAGGCTGTCCCCGTATCATGGGCGATGGGATTAAGGCACAGAGGGCTCAGGTCTGTGTCCCAAGATCACACAGCACACACAGAGTCCAGATATGAGCTCACGTTTCTGGGGACCCCATGCTACACAGAACTAGATCGGTAGGAACTGGTGGTGGGGGTCCAGAGATGGGCACCTTGACACGATCCCCAGGCCAATGCAGACTCACACACCTATAATCCCAGCACCCAGGAGGCTGAGGCAAGAGGACCGCACAAATTTGAAGCCAGTGCTACACAGTGAGTTCAAGGACAGCCTGCATGACATATTGAGATCCTGTTTCAGAAAAAAAAAAAAACAGATTCAGGGCGGTGGTTCTGAGCCAGGCAAGTCCTGGGCCTTCCTGTAACTAGAGGAGGGTGGGGATGTGTGTGTCCTGCCCCCTGTGTCCTGCCTGCACTACAGTGGGGCCTCTCCAGAGCAGCAGGATTCCCACAGGAAGAGCCATCCAGTGTCCCCATCCTCGCCCCCCAGGGGTCCCGCTAACAAGTCACAGAGCTTGTCTCTCCCAGCAGCCTGGCAGCAGCCCTACCGAGAGAAGAAGGTGGGAGAGGAGACCAGACAAGTGGCTGCGTCTCTAGCACGCTGCTCCCAGGCCTGCTTCCCTGCCATCTAGGCCTTTCCCTGGCCCACTGTCCCTGCTGGCTGTGCCCATGGCCTCCTGGAGTGTAAGCAGAGCTGGGCCGAGCTGGGAGGCAGAGGCTGGTGGTGGGGATGCCGGGCTGGAGACAGCTTGTTCCCCAGGCACACTTCCCCAGGGGTTAAACCCCTTTTCCTCGAAGTGTTTCGAGTGTGCTTTTGCAAGACTCCTCCCTCCTGCCTCACCCAAGAAAGGAAAGACAAGACAAGACAAGGGACCCAGGACAGACCAAGGATGGCTGCATGGCAGGATGACGCTGGGACTCTGTGCCATCACATGCCCCTTGAGACTGACTTAGTGGCTCCCGGGGCACACGAGGGGTGGGAGCAGGTGACCCCAGGAGGGCTCGGGACCCTGAGTCCTAGATCCTCCTTTTGGACTGAAGGAAAATCCCACTTCATTTTGGTTTCTGTTTTGATGAATTTAAAGCTTTTTTTGAGGTGCAGCTAATGCACAAAGAGTCACACACATTTTCCGTGCTGAGTTTGGTCACACACCTGTGACACCATTTCCACAACCAAAGGGCAGAACTTACGGATCCCCTCCAATGATCTTCCTGCACACGTGTGTGCACGTGTGTGTGCACCCATGTCTGTGTGTGCACCCATGTGTGTTTCGTGTAAGAACACAGCAGATTTTATTGGTACCAGGGATCGAACTCACGACTGCCTGCTTGCAAGGCAGGCGCTTATGCCGCTGAGCTAAATCCCCAGCCCTGAACACAGCAGATTTTAATCCGCTGGAAAGGGCACAAGCACAGCCCCTGCTGTCACCAGCAAGCCCGCACCCTGTGGCAGAGCCCGGGACCCATTCGTCTTGCAGAACAGAATCTTTATACCCTCTGAGCAAATTTCCACATTTTCTCCTCTGCCCCACTCCTGGCAACCACTGTCCCTATCTCTGCTGCCTGTGTAAGTGGCCTCACACAGTAACCTCCCCTGCACCTGGCACAGCGTCCTGCAGAGTTTCTGTGTTGCTGCTGCTGGCGGGCCCTTTCCTCCTCTAAGGGGACAATGCCCCATTGTACACAGCACCCGTTTTCTTTATCCATTCATCTGCTGATGGACATCTGGGTCGCTTCCATATCTTGCTTATTGTGGATATGGAAAAATACAGTTTCTCTACTCAACGCAAACAGACACCCTGTGTGCATGGTGCTCTGAGGACAGAAAGAGCCGCTGGGAGTGTAAACACCACCCCGAGCGTGTGTGTGGCTGCAGGGAGAGCCGCCCCCTCCTCCAGGACCCCCCTTCCACCTGGCCCAGCCTCACAGGGGGTCCCGTCCCCACCTTGGAACCACCTGGTCCCAGCTCCTAGTGGATTCTCTTCTGCCAGAGACTGAAAACAACCTCTGTCTGTCTTTCTGCACCACTTCGAGACTCTTTGGTGGCTGCCAGCTTAGCAGTCTCAAGGACTGGAGACACAGCCAGGGGTAAAGATGGCCCCACGTGTGAGCACCTGCAATCATCCTGTGGCTTTGCACTCGCCCCGAGCGGGGACCCCTTGGCCTGGTCCCAGAAAGCCTCCCGCTGGCCTTGGGAGCGGGTACCTTCCCCACGTCCCATGGGTCTGAGGTGACACGGCAGCAGCTGCCGTCCGTGCCTCCGAAGCCTGAGAGGGTGACACACCAGGGGCTGGGTGGGGACACAGCCCATACTGAGCATGGAGCATGGCCCCTGCCTTCTGCGTCTCTGTCCCCGCCACGTGGCAGTTCTGGCGCAGTGTGGCACATGCTTCCTGAGTCTCACCAAGTCTGCTGTGCTGGTGGCCTTCCTCGTGACCTCCCACCAGGCCAGAAGACGCCGAGCTGGTGACTGGCACCGCACAGCCCCACTCCTCCGGAGGCCGACTCCTGCCTTCCTCTTAGGCTAAGTCCTTTCTCAAAAGACACCTCAGTCCCTGCGCCGGTGACACCAGCCCACAGCTCTGTCTGGATTCAAAGCCATCTGCGCTGTGAGTCTGACTGGGCACCTCGGAGACGGACATCTGACTTCTCCAGCTCAGGCTTGTCTGGTGGAGTTATTCAGTTAAAAAAAAAAAAGGAAGAAAAGAAAAAAGCCAGTAATCGGGGGATGATTTTCCTTCTTTCCCTCCTCCAGGGACAGGACTCAGCCCGCTGAGTGGGTCGCCGGCCCCTTCACCCTCATTCATCTGACGTTTGCCGCAGAACAGGGGTTGAGGACAGTGTTAGATCTATGGTCCCTGCCAACTGTCCTGGAGTCACAGGGATGGACGCCAAGGGCCCCAGGCAGGAGTTCCAGTGGGGGAGAATCCGAGGAGCCCCCAACTCCTGCCACCCCCTCCCTAACCTCCATTCTCGTCTGTCACCTCCTAGAGACCTAGATGGGAAGGGAGTGTCCACCAGGGGCCTTGGAGGGGGGTGTCACACTGTGTGGGGAAGCCAGTGACCCTGGCTGCCTCTGTGGGGTACTCTAGACCCTGCTGTGAGGGTCCCCAAGGTCACAGCAGCAGGGCCCAGCCCTAGTCCCTTGTCAGTCACTGCAGCTGTTCCTGGTTGCAGACTGCAGGCCTCAGGGGTGGCTCAGGGCTGTAGGTGCCCGCAAGAGCCCACGGGCAGGGCAGGAACAGACAGGACCCAGGTGCTGCCCCAGCCCCCACTCCAGAGCTCCCAAGAGCCCCACTCTCTCAAGGGACAGCCGTAACCCAGGGCTCCAGAGGCCCCATCCTGATCTGGCTCTCGCTCACTGCCAGGGGACACAGGGACCCCAGGTCGGTGTCTCAGGTTCACCACCTGTACGTGGAGGTGGCTCTGCCTGTCCTTCCTCAAGGCGTCATCCTGGGAAGCTGTCAAGGGCTTTGGAAACTGTCGGGTGCTGTCTGCATGTAAAGTGGTGACTGTCCCTAGCCAGAACAAGGGCCAGGGCTGCCCTGGGGTTGGGGGCTGCACCCACCTGTTTGTGTTTGTTTGTTTATTTGTTTGCACTACAGGGATCGATCCCAGGGGCTTCACATTGCACTCTATTTCCAGCCCTTTTTGTTTTTATTATGAGAGTCTTTCCAAGTTGCCCAGGCTGGGGTCGAATTAGTGACCCTCCTGCCTCAGCCTCCCAGAATGCTCAGATTACAGAGATCACGACTCCTGGCCTACTGACCTCATTTTTTTGAGCTGAGGTTTCAAAGAATGGGAAAGCCACCAGCTCAGTCATGGACAGGTCACCAAATCCTTGCATGGGGCTTTCAGGATAGTATACAGGGGGAGAGGGGCAGGTGGGCTGGACACCCTGGGACAGATGGCTCTGGGAGCTTGGGGACACTGTTTTCGGGTGCCAGCCCAGGACATGTGCTGGTTTATTTCCACTCTCTTGCCATTGAGCTAACTTGCCTGTCCTGCCCCAAGACAGGTGGAGACCAGGCTTCCTCCCAGGAGACAGCACAGTGTGACCCAGCCTGCCAGGACCCAGATGAGCAAGAGGCCTAGAACAAGGCGCCTCTGACACAAGACAAGTGTCCATTAGTGATAGGTTGGAAAATGCCCCCCAGCAGATGGAAAAGAGCAGGTGGCAGGTCAGGATCTGGCCATGGTCCTTGGGGTGTCGGCCGGGACTACAGTTCCTCCCCAAGCTGTCCCCTGCCTGTCTCCCTGAGGGGACACCAAGATCCAGGGGCTGCTGAGAAAAAAATCCCTGAAACAGATGAGCCCTACAGGCTCCGGCTGGCGGGAGACTCATGCGAGCCCCAGAGCAGCTCGGGTGAGCTTCATCTCTCCTGGTGGCCTCAGGGTCCTAATCCGGGAAGGCAGAGGGAGCAAGGTCACCGGGATCTGCCGGTGGGTGTGTCTGTGACACTTCCAAGTGACAGTTCCTAACTGTGACCCCATGCAGGCAACATATCGCGCTCCATGCATGTGGGCATGCAGGACTTTGGAGGCCCGGGGAGACCGAAGCATGTGACCAGTTCTGTACCTGGAAGTGGCTTTATCCGTGATTCAGGAAGAGTTAGCACAGGTGGAAAGGTTGGTTATCTTCTTGAGCTCGCCCGGTTCCGGCATAAATTCGGTGGAGTTTGGATTCTCAGAGCCCAAAGCCATCACAGAGCTGCGGGTGGTCATCAGATTCCAGGGCTATTTATTTTGGGGGGCGTCAGGGTGGGACTGTGTGGGGCTCAGGAGCTTTAGATGATGTGCATGCATCTGAAAAGCAAAAGGCCCGCTGCCCTCGCTTGTCCCCCTCCTGCCGGGGCCAGCTGAGCAGCTCGACCTAATGGAAGATGCGTGGGCTGCCCCACCTGCCCCTGGCCCGTCTCCCTCCTGATCCTCACCCCAGAGGCCACCTGAAGCCAAGACTTCAGCTGCTCCCAGCCATGGCAGAGGAGGGTGAGGTTGACGCCTGCAGTCTGACTCCCCTGGCCAGCTGGGGTGGCGGTGGCTGAACTCTCTCTGTGTGGTGCCCCCCGCCCCCTGTCCACCTTGGGCAGCCTCTCCTTCAGCCACAGGGACACAGCCAAGAGGGTCCTGCTGTTTAGTCAGACTCAAGCAATGCAAGCCACGGAGGTGGTGGAGTGGGACTCAGAAAAGAGGGCCACCACCCCCGATGGCGACAGCAACACGGATGCCCTTGTACAGATCCTCCACTGACCTCTGGGGAACACACTCAGTCTTTTTACTTCTATTTCTTTAAAATGGGACACTATACCTTCCTTGCCTTGTTACCCTGAGGATCAAGCCAGACAATATACAAGGGCTGATCGAAATCTATGGCAAATGTTTACATTAAAAGATTTATCACGATAAAAGATATCACCACAAGTCCCCCTCAGAACATTCACCCCCTGTCCCTGCCACTTCCTGGAGCAGTTCTGGGAATCCTCTTTCCTAAGTGTCTTTACGAGGCATGATTAGTAACGTGGTGAACGCTGCAGCCAAGGGTCAGCCACTGGGACAGCAGGCTATGGACTACCGCGGGAGGCCTCGTCTGCTTTATTCCCCAGGTCTGGCTCCTCGTGGCTTGTGGCTGTTCCCCAGAGTCGAAAGGATCATAAAAGCAAAAGGTTTTGAGTGGATTCGGGATGTGGAGGCAGCCATAGCAGCGTAACCAAGGACACTCATGAGAGAGGACTTCAGAGCCGCTCCGGGAAGGGACAGGGTGATGGGAGAGGAGTCCTGAGCGAGGTGAAGTGTGTCCCGCATGCATGAAGGGCAGAGTGGGACCTTTGGCTTAGGTATTGTACAGTGATTGACAGTACAGCCCCTGGAAGCAGACCGGGTGGGGTGGAACCCTCCTTCCCCCGCCGCGTGCCCTTGGGCAAGTGAATTTACATTTCTGAGCAGGATTTTCTTTTCTTTTCTTGTCTTTTTCCTTTTTATTGGTACTGGGGATCGAACTCATGACTGCCTGCTTGCAAGGCAGGCACTTATGCCACTGAGCTAAATCCCCAGCCCCGAGCAGGATTTTCTTGTCTGCAAATGGACTTACAGACCCTCTCTTGGGGCTGTGGGAGTCACGAGCTCTCCTGAGGACCCTGTGAGTGGTGTGAAGTGAGACCCCCAGGTCCTGGTCTGCAGAGGACTCCACCACATTCTCCCGAACCCCGTGCCTCGTTTCCCCCTCAGTTCTCCCAATCTGGATGGTCTGCCCTCTCACCTTCTGCACCGAGCTGGCCTTAGGCACCTCTCTGCCGTGGACCAGGGCTCCACTGCCCTGGAGGGCTGGCTCTGGGCTGCATCTGAGAAGCCGCTCTCCTCCCTGGGGAGTGAGTGTCCCCTGGGAAGCTGCACTTGAACAGGCCAGGCCGTCCAGATGAGTCACCTCCCATCTGAGAGGTTCCCTCAATTGGCAATGGAGGCCCTCTGTGCTGCCGCTATGTGTCGCATTTCTTTCCATCCCATGAGTCAGAAAACACCAGTCACCTGCCATGTGACTCAGTGTCTTCTGCCAAGAGCTGCATGCGGAGCGCCCGGAAAACCCTCGAAGGATCAGAGGGCAGCTGCCGGGGATGGAAGGATGGAAGTCAGGGCTCGTGAGGTCATCAGCCAAAAAAGCAGAGGCGGAGGTGGGGAGCTTGTATGGCCAACCATGACACTCCCAGGAAAATAATGTGATTGTTTCAGCTGATTACAAATGTAAAGCTTTGGTCACTATAGACAACTATGCTTCTAACCGACCTGTGGCCACCCCATTCATAACGTGCTGGGACATTTTCCACTTGCCGCCAGGCTGGCACCAGCTGGGTTTGCGTTCATTGAGCTACTGGTCCCTGCCCAGGTCTTGGGACTCCGAGACTGCACGCAGGTGGGGGAATGGCCCATCCTGGCTCCCAGAGTTGGGTGAGGTCAGTGATATCATGGCCTTGTCAGGTGTCTGGAGCAACGGGGTTCCCTCAGGGGCCGGCTTGGTCTCTCTTCCTCTGCTTGTCCGGGGACTGTAGAGTGGTACATTGAAATTTCCCTTCATAGCTCTTTGAGTAAAGCGGGAAATTTGTAAAACTACCATATGCAAGCTTTGTGAAGCCCAATGGGGAAAACTTTGAGATAGGTGGCTTTTTACTTTTTTGGACTGGATCCATAGTAAGAAACAGATTTTGTATTACAGGAAAGTATGTACACACATAACCATAGAGGAGCTGTCAGAAAATTACCAAACCATTCTTAACCTTATACTACATGAAATACACCTGACATTTTGTGTTTCACTCAATTTAAGCAAAATGAGTGTGGTTTGAAAGGCACTACATTGTTTCAGGACCCACTCACTGGTGTGTGGTAACTCACAGCGTAGAGAGCATGAGTTTAGCTGACGGTGACTGTATTATCAGCTTTCCTGGCTGGGATTCGAGTTAAAGGACAGATTTGATTTGGTTCATGGTTCAGAGGGTTCAGTCCCTGGTCAGCTGGCTCCAGGGCAGGAGCATCATGGTAGAGAACATGGTCGGTGCGGGGGGCAAAGTTGCTTAGTTCACAGCAGCAGGAAGCAGAGCTAGGAAACAGGCCAAAGAGGAAGTGGCAGGGACCAGACATAGACCCCAAGGCCACACCTCCACGACCGACCCAGGTGCACCCAGAAGTGTCCTCTACCAATCTCTTGTGTGGCTCCCAAATCAGTCAAGTTGACATAAACAAGTGTAAGTGCCACAATACTGATGGCTAGAATGAGAAAAAGGGTTACAGGCTGAGGAGTCAGGCTGTCTCTGTGGAATCCACCATTCCATGCCTCATATCTTCATCTATAAAATGGGAGGAGAAGAGCAGTTCTTAGGGCTGTGACCTAATCAATACAGCAGCCATGCAAATGCCCAGCAAGAAAGAAGGCTCCGTGGTCGACAAGGGGACCAGCTTGGCCTTGGTTCCTCTGCTTGTCAGGGCTGTAGACTGGTGGACTGATGTTCTCCTTCGTATTTCTCGGAGTAAAACAAGAAAGTTGTAAAACTACCAATGCCTGGAGAGCAGACAAGAGATGCCTGCCCATCGTGAAATCCCTGAGCTGTCTCCAGGGCAATGGAGTACTCGGACCCCAGACAGCAGAGGTGGGATTCAAAACTCCTGCTTAAAGTCAAAGAGGTCTTCAGACTTGAATAAGGTTTAAGAAATGAATATTCAGGCCCATGGTTTGCCGGGATTGGTGGCTCACAGCTGGAATCGTAGCTGTAATCTGGGAGGCTAAGGCAGGAGGATCACAGGTCCAAGCCTAGCCTGGGTAAAGGGGGAGACCCTAGCTCAAAAAAAGGAAGGGGGGCTGGCGATGTAGCTCAAGGCAAAGGTCTGGGGTTCAATACCCGGAACTACGTAAAGAAGAAAAGACTCATCTCACTGTTCAGTTCTTACAGTGTACAGTCGGTTCTCTCCATGGTTTCCTCCTGGGCTGTCGCAGGTCTCCCTGAATTACTGTCAGGATTTGGGGTGCGTGACACCTGGGTGCAGCGGCACAGCTCCACGCCCCAGTTCTCTCCTCCCCTCCCGAGTCCATGGCTGCTTAGGTCCAGCCTCACTATTGTCCCCACCGGCGGCCCAGTCCTCTGGATTCCTCGGTGCACGCCGCCACGTCACGAGCAATCTCTACAAAGCCCCGCGTGACCTCTGCTCCTGTGACTACAGCACCCCAGCTCTTCCGGGCTCCCACGTGCCGCGAGCCGCCACCCCAGGCCTGGCCGCTGGGGGGCAGTGGCGCGCAGAGCAGCGCAGATGCCACTCAGAAGTTTTGCCTGGTCTCTAGCAAACAGCTCACAACCCACCGAGGGACTCACAACTCCGTTGTTTGTTTTTTGTGTTCTTTTGGTTTTTTTGTTTTTGTTTTTTTTTTTTTTTTATCGGTACCAGGGATCGAACTCACGACCGCACACTTGCAAGGAAGGCGCTTATGCCGCTGAGCTAAATCCCCAGCCCCGCAACTCCATTTTTTACTGCTTTATGCAGAGCTGGCCCAACAGTCCTCTGGGACCATCATTGCCATAGCCTTTTTCCTGCCTGAACCACACTTCCTCGAGAACCTTCAGAGGCCCCTTGTTTACCTAGGAACCCCACACTTCGCATTCTGGGCTGTACCTTCAGTCCCTGCTCAAAGGTGGAGCAGAATCTGGAGTGGCTGGGAACAGGATAGAGGGCTAAGCATGCCCGAGCTGAACTTCCTGCCAGCCGACATTTGTGCAGCCAGAACTCTAACTTGAGAGAAAATGCCTGTGCATTGCAAAATAGGGCAAAACAGGAAAATTCCAGATTGCACCTGTAGACCACAAATCAGCGCCCAGCTCCTCTTCTGAGGCTGGTGTCGGTCCTCCCATTCCGCTCTCTGAAGTGGCCTCCTCTTGCCTGTGGACCCTCCCGCTACCTAGCCCCTCCTCTGTCCTAGGTGCCTCCCCAGTCAACCTGGCTCCCACCCTCACCCCCATGCAGTCCCGCTGTCCTGAGGACCCCAGAGTTCTGTGAGGTGCATAGATTTCCCGCTGTAATGAGCCGCCAAACTTAGTGGCTCAAAACAACCCAGATCTTTCCTCCCACACTTGTGCAAGGCTGCTATCAAGGTGTGCAGGACTGTATTTCCCACAGGGGCTCTAGAAGGGGGCAGGTGCCTCCTCTTCCAGCTTTAGGGGTTGTAGTGTCCTTGGCTTATGGCTCTATCCCTGCAGTTCCCCCCTGTGGTGGATTAAAACCCACTTGTCAACTTAAACACCAGCTGAACTGAATCAGTGTGGCGCTGGGTGTGGATGGTCCACCTGAGGAAAGCTGCCAGCATAAAAAGCAGACCTGGTAAGGAAGAGGAGCGTGGTGGGTTCTCATAAGTAGTACTGTTGTTTAGAGTTGTTGCTTTTCCTGGAGGAGCTTGTGCTGGCTTCCCTGACATGAACTCGGCAGCTATCATTGGAGGAGCTTGGGACCTTGTCACTGAGAATAGCCGTGGTTCATTTTGCGGGAGCTCTGGTTCTTATTTTGAGCATCGTTTCCTGGCTCCGGAGGGGAAGATGTGTGCTGTTCAGTCTCAAGGAGAAGCTTGTCACGCTGGCGTCCTGACATGAACGGGGCTGTTGTCATCAGACGAGGAGCTCGGGACCTAGCTTCTGCTCACATTCTTGGGCTGCAGCGCTTACTGTGATGGGAAGCACAACCCAAATCTGTGTCCTAGGAAGAAGGACCTGCCATGGCATCAGTGTTTTTCAGAAAGCGTAAAAGTCTGGGGTACCTGGGAGCAGAGGGCTCTCCGTGGTCACTGGGGCAGGAGTACACAAACAGAATAGTACAGAGAGGCATTGCCTGTCACCAGTGACTTCCTGCCAGGGCAGAAGCAGAGTCTGACACTGGCTCAGTTTGACTGGGCCCTTTCAGACCAATGGCTATGACTCTCCTGTTCTGAGGAAAACCTAGTCTGTCTGGGGTATTTTCCTGCCTTCTTGTAGTTTATGTGATGCTTAGCCTAAGTGACCCCACCTTGTGGGGTCCGCTGGGACCTAGCAGAGAGAAGTCCAAGACAACGGCAGTGAGATCCAGGGTGAGGCTGCACCCTGCAGGTGTGGCCTGTGGATGGATGCACTTGCTGCAAACAGCTGGATCCCTCTCGGGCTGCCTCAAGCTAAGAGCACGCTGACTGGAACAGACATTGATGTTGGCAGAACCCATGCACTCTGGCAGAGCAGGCTCAGGAAAACAGAGTTGGGAGGCTGTGTTGGTGCTGCTACCTGTTCCCACCAGTTCCTGGACTCCTGGGCCTCTGTTGAAGCTGTGTGCCCTCTCTAGCCATCCTAGGGAGTCAGAGCATGAGAGCCCAAGAGGATCAACTGCTCCCTGCCACCTCCTGGGTGCCGCCCAGGGGAGGGGGCCTGAGTGTGAGCAGCGCAAACCCTCAGAAGCCTCTGTTAAGCCATGCTGCTTCCTCTCCTAATGAGCTCATTCTGACGCGCGTGGGAATTCCACTTGTTATCCCAGGAGCCCTTTGCTGCTTTGTTGTAGGGGTGAAGAGAGACGGGTGGCACTTGTCCATCATCTCCAGCCCTGCTCCCACCTAGGCCACCGGTATCCCCCACAACGGGACCATGATCTGTGGCTTGGAAATGGTCCCTTCTCAGGGCACCCCAAAAGCAGAGGGCTGGGGGGAGGCGGGAAGGAAAGGAGCTGTGGCTCCCCAGGAGGCTTTCGCAGGGCAGGCGGCAGCCAGTCTCTGCAGATGTCAGGGAGAGTGGGCTTCACCAGGGTCCCAGCTAACTCTGGGTTTTACACTGCAGAGCCTGGTGTCCGGTGTCCCTGGAGAGCAGGAAAATGGATTGGCCTGAAACCCGCTGCGTTCAGTGTCAGGGTCCTGTGACTAGGGAAACCCCTGTTCCCTTCTTTATTTATGCTTTTATTTGCATAACCCTGGCAGTCTTCCTGGGGGATATTGGGTTCATTTGGGGCTATCAGCAGACAATGAAAGTTGGACAATGAAAGTTGTGAGAAGTGCTCGCTTGCTCTTTCCTCCCCCTTCTCTCCGCTGCGATGAAGGCTTGATTCTTTCTTTCTCCCCGTGCCTATGTTACAGGGCCCCACCTGGCCCAGGGGGTTGCAGAAGATGGAAAAAATGATCCCTAAGCACTCACCCTCCAAGGGGTCTCTGTCCATTTATCGGGGTGCAAGGTGCAGGGAGGGAGGAGCACCATGTAAAGAGCTGTAAAGAGTGGCTATCAGTCAGTGACTGCGAGCTAGATTAGTGGTCAGTGACACGGTTAGCGGTTAGTGGTGCCAACCAGAAACTGACCCTGAGGCTCTGGTTTCAACAGATCACTGGTCAAGGCTGATGCAACTGATTGCTCCAGTTCTTGGGGACTTTCCCTTTCCCCTGTACCTTCATAATCTCTCATTTCACACTGAGAACTAGAAAAGTAGCTACACTGTACTTGGAAAGGCAAGCGAGGCAGAATCACAGTTCAAACCCAGCCTGGGCCACCAGCAAGTTAGAAAGACCTTGTCTCCTAATTTAAAAAAAAAAAATGTGAAAAAGGGCCAGAGCTGGGGCTAAGGGTGAAGGCCTCCGGGCTCAATTCCCAGTGCCACAAGGAAAATCCCTGAGCTGTGTCCCCGGGACTCAGGATCTTGCAGGACGATCCAGCCCAAGGTCCCTGGCTGGGGCAGAGGACGGGGTGCCGTCTAGGGTCTGTGAGCCACCTCCCCAGTCCTGGCAGAGAGAGGCCAAGAGATGCTGGAGGCAGAGAAGCATTCAAAGGGCAAAGTGCTCTCTGCTTTATTAACCGCCAAGTAAACAGCTCGCCCTTGGGAGAAATGAGTAACCAGGAGGAAGACGGCCTGCAGAGGGCAGGGATGTTTTGTTGCCCAAGGAAACAACAAGACAAAACGAAATTTCTCTGTTACCTGGACACTGATTGTTGTCCTCCCTCCCCCCCCCCCTTTTTTTTTTCACACAGCCCTCTTGTCGGGACACTCAATCTTCCAGCCTGGTGACGCTGGCACAGGAAGTGTCCTTGAACACGAGGTTAGGGAGTCTCGTGGGCACCCAAAGCAGCAGCCAGCAGTCTGTGGACTAGTGAGCCACCCATGAGCGTGTGGAAAACAAGAACCTTGTTTTCTCCCGCGCCTACGGGGCTCAAAATAGAACTCTGCCCTTTGTCCTCGAGGAGCTGAGGCAACTGCCCCTTGTGGGCGTCAGTGACCGCAGGCCCTTTGTTCCTCTCTCCCACAGCTGTCCCCCTCCTTCCTCTGACCTTTGACCTTCGGCCCGTATCCCTTGCAAACACGGGCTGTCTGGTGTCATGCAGGGGACCCAACAGCTGGCCAGGGGCAATTCCATGACACAGCCACAGACATAGATGTGGACACAGCAAGCTGCCCACTGCACTGTACTACCCAGCTGTCCTCAGCACAGCCCACCCTGGCCTGGGCCGTCACAGTGTGTGGCATTTCCTTGGCAGGACCTTCGGTGTGAGATGCAGGCCTCCAGGGTAGTTTACTTGGCTCACGTTTGTAGAGGTGTCAGTCCATAGTTAGCAGGCTCCAAGACAAGGTGGCTTGGCAGAGGGCTCACATCAAGGTTCCTAGGAATCAGAGGGTGTTGAGAAAAGGCTGGGAAGGGGGAGAGAACCTTTGCAGGGCACACACATAGGGACCTGCCCCTTCCGGCCAGCCCTCTACTCCAACAGCAAGTCAGCTGTGAGACTTCCACACGCCTCGCCGGTGCGGCCTTGTGGACACCTCGCTATAAACCAAAGCAGCTAGGCACCATGTAAACACTATTGGTGCTTTCTCTTTTCTTTCCCATAATGAGACAGTGCTGTTCCTGTCTGTCTTGCATGAGGAGACAGAGGCTTGGAGGGCTCAAAGAACCAGCCAAGTTGAAGGCAACTCAGGAAACTGTTGTTGAAATACAAGGTGATTGAAACATAGGGATGTTTAAATTTCAAAAATTTATTACAGGAGAAGATAGGCTGCCTCCAACTCCCCTCCAATACACTTGTCCTCCTGTTCGTGCCACTGTCTGAAGCAGTTCCAGAAGTCCATGAAACATGATGGTCTTTACGAGGTATGATCAAAAAGATGGTGAAAGGGAGACTCTTGAATATGTGAGGGCGGGTTCTCATCCAGCTGAATCACTGGGTCAGAAATCCCACAACGTCTGTCTTTTCCCCAGCTGGAAAGACCAGGCAAGAAAGGTAAATATTTGAATGGGTTCAGGACCTGAGGCTGCTGGAAAGCGGTCACTTCAGTGCCCCTCGGCTGCCCCTCTGGGAGGCAGGACGGCATCCTCTTCAGTGACTTTCCTGTCTACCTGCTGGCTGCTGGTGGCGCTCAGGCCAGGGTGTCCATTACCTGGGCTCACTGGAAGCTGCAGACAGGGGACCGAGCTTTGGCCCACACGTGGTGGCTGCTGGGAGCCTCAGACCACAGGAAAGTGACTCTGTGGACTCACCAGACCATGGCAGGGTGACTCAGCTGCCCACTGACACATGCGGGCCTTCCTTTTTTCCCCTCTGGAACAATAACAAATCCCAGCTCTGTGATTCGGCTGTCATAGCAACCAGAAAACATTTTCCAAGGGGAGTCTGCAGGACAGGTGGGCTGAGCAGGTCTGGCTGGGAACAGCCCTTTCCTGTCCCGTCAGCCTGAATCCTGTGAGTCTTGTCTCTGTGGAACACGCTGCCACCAGAACCGACTGCCTTCTAGCCCAGGAAGTCTGGGTAGTTACAAGTCTGCACCGGTGATACCCAGCCCACACCTCCACTGTGGAAAAACCTGAGTCATTGAGCGGCCCATTGTGTGTCCACCTCGGGCCTCGATGGGTCCTGTCCTGTACAAGGTGGGGAATAAAGAAGAAGTGGCCCCTGGTTTCCATGCTCAGAGCTCCAAGGGGCTGAGAGGGGCTATGGATGTGGGCTGTGGGTGGGGATGGGCCTCAATGTTCAGCAGAGCGGCTGGACATCCATGTGTCCTCTCCCCGAAGATTAAACAGGTGCACTTCAGACCCAGCCCTCCCCCAACATGCTCCAAATACCTCCTCTTCCCTGCTGGGCCTGTTCCTTTAGGATGAGACCCCTCCTCACCTTGACTGAACCCTCTGCCCTCATCGGAACCCAGCCTTGGGGCACTCCCCTAATTATTTCTGACACTTACAGTGTAAAGGAGGAGAGGTTTATTTTGGCTGACGTTTGTAGAAGTGTGGGTCCATAGTTGACAGGCTCAAAGGCAGGGTGGCTTGGCAGAGAGCTCATATCAAGATATCCAGGACACAAGGGGTGTGGAGGAAGGACACCCCTGGAAGGGAGCTAGAACCTTTGCAGGGTGCACACACAGGGGCCCGCCTCTTCCAGCCGACCCCCAAAACTGTCTAGCCCCTTAAGGCATCCTGAGCGGTTCCACAGAAGCTTATCATCTCTGGAGAGGAAAACATGCAGATTCTCACAACTCACAGATGTGTAATGATATAACTAAGGTTTCTGAGCACTAACTCTATACTGGATACTTGGTAAGTGATTCAGTTGTGATTTTTCATTTAATTTTTGTAAGCTGGGTGAGGGTCAGGTAGTTGTTTCCAATGTACAGATAAGATATTAACAACAACAAACTTCAGACAAAATAAACTTAACAGAGCTGATGTCAGTGAAGAATAAATCAGGAATCACTGGGCACTGGGAATCAGAAGAGGCCCAGGGCTGGGCTATAGTCAAGCAAGTGCTCACCATCACTGGTCATTCAAGAGATGCAAATTTTTTTTTTTTTTTGGTCTTTCTCAGACAGGATCTCTCTATGTAGTTCAGGCTGGCCTTGAGTTCATTTTGTAGCCTAGGCTGGTCTTGAACTCACAACGATCTCCTCCTGCCTCAGCCTCCCAAGTGCTGGGATTATGTGCATGAGCCACCTCGCCTGGCCGGAAATGCAAATTAAGACAACCCTGAGATTTCATCTCACCCCAGAAAGAATGGCTGTCATCAAGAAATCAATGAATAACAAATGCTGGCAGGGGTGTGGGAATAAAAACCTTTCTCTACTATTGGTAGGAGTGCAGTCTGGTGCAGTCACTGTGGAAATCAGTGTGGAGATTCCTCAAAAAACAAGGATTAGAGGTCCCACTAGACCCAGTTTCTCCCTTTCTGGATATTCTCCCCAAAGAATTAAAAACATCATACCACAGTGATATCTTTGCACCCATGTTTACAGCAGCACAATTTGTAAAAGCTAAATCTTAGAAACAATCCAAATGTCCCATCAACCAAGGAATGGATAAAAAGATACGATCTTTTCATACAGTGGAGAACTACTCAGCTATAAAAAAGTATAAACTCAAGGCTTTTGTAGGTAAACAAATGCAATTTGAGACCATATATATAAGTGAAATAAGCCAGACGTGCATGGATAAACATCAGATTGTCTCCCTAGTGTAAAAATTTGAAAGAGTAAATAAGATCCAAAATGTACAATAGATATTGTGAAAGTGAAAGGGGAAGAAACTGCTCAAAAGAAAAAAATAACTGGGATAAGGGAAATGAGAAAAGGAAAGGAAAAGAAAAGTCTATATATCTATATATGGCTAAGGTACTTACATTACTAATCTCTATTAGTTCATTGAAAAGATTGGTCTGTGGTTCTATTGTTTGATCAGTTTTCCATGTCTGTTTCTTGTAATCTGAGCAACTACTTTGAAGATAACAATACGCAATATATTAACCATTGTTAGTCTCCTATTATCTTGTTTCGAAATTCTGTACCATTGTTGTTTTTATCTCTTGAAAACAAAACAAAACAAAACAAAGAAATCCCTGCTTGGGCTCCTGATGGAAACTTTTCCTCATTTTTTCTGATCTGAGGAGAGTTACTGGGTGGAGGATGCTTATTGGTTTTGGGTGGGTTCTGCCTCTGGTTTTGTTTTATTGTTTACATTTGGGCGCTGTCGAATTCTGCAGGAGCTATTTTAGCTTCATGGCCTGCCCATCAAAAACAATTTTTTAAGCTGGACAGGTGATTCATGCCCATACTGGGGAGGCTGAGGCAGGAAGATTGCCAAGAATTCAAGGCCAACCTGGAAGGCATGGCGAGAGCCTGTTACACACAACACGACCCAATGCAACACAACAATTTTTTAAACAAAGAAATTTTTAACAAAGGAATGAAGTCTTGGAGAATTCTGGCTGCTCTTTTCTATGCAACCCTGTCCCTGGGTTGCATTTGGCAATCTCCAGGAGGAAACCTGCCCTCTCCCAAGTTGTGTATCTGAGTCTCTCCAGTTCTGGGTGCTCAGGACACAAAGCCTCTGATCCCTTGCGGTGACTCTAGGAGCTGCCCAGGGGCTGTGGGTTAGAGCTGGATCCCCTGGAGCCCTGAGCCAGCCTCATGAGTGTCTCAGGAGAGTGTGCTGGCCTACAAGTCTCCGACCCCACCCCAGAGCTACAGGGAGGAACTGGGGTGCAGTGGGGAACCAGTTTGTTCTGGGTTCTCTGCAGGTGATCCTGCAGTTGGTTCTGGACTCTTGGCTCGAGGTCCTCCTCTGCAGCTGGTAGGGTGGGCCCACTTCTTGCTCTGATGCAGGTGGCAGAGGGGCAGCGGTGTTAGATGTTAGCCGGTCTGAGGGAGCAGGAGGTGAAGTCCAAAACCGCTTAAGATGCCAGGTAAGTAAGAACAGAAGCTTCTGTGCATAACCCATTTATCACCATAACCCATTTATCACCATTGGTTTGGACCCAAAGCAACCCAGAGGGCACAATGCCATCATCTGAAGATCACATGCTGTGCAGGGACCTTCTGACACCCCGGCTGTCGAACTCCAGACCAAGGCACACAGCACCCCCACAGCCCAGTGGCACAGGAAAGGGAATGCTCCTTAAAGACCTCCTGCCCTGGGCTGGGCCCTGTGTAAAGGGAGAACTTTGCTTCCTTGAATTTCTTTCCTGAGCTCCTTACATGATGGAGGAAGCACCAACCACCCAGAAAGGACAGGAAGACGTCCTGCAATGCCTCGGTAGCTTCTAAGTGCAAGGCTGATGAGCATCATAATTTAGTTTCCTGAGCCCCAGGAATAGCTCCTCAGTGCAGAAAGAGGAGCCCAAACTGTCCTCCCTCTCAGTTCTAGGCTTAGCTGTCTGTATCATCTTTATAATAAGTTCAACCTGCATTTCTGCGTGGCTGCCTGTGAGTCAGGACTCGGCTTCAGTGACAGGGCAGCACGAGGGGTGGGCAAGGGGGGCAACTGAGCCGTGAGCTCTGGGTCCCCAGGGGGGTCGCCCTGCTGGCCTCCTCTTCCACGTAGGAGCTGTGGGTGGAAGCCAGGGGTACACACGGGCCTGGGACTCAGTGGGTCTGGAAAGCTTCAGAGCCTGACTTCTGTCCCAAGACATCAGGGTCTCAGTCCAGCAGGGTTGAGGCAGTCCGGACCCAGCCCGCCAAATTCCCGGTAAGGAAGTGTTTGCTGCCTGGTTGTTTTGGCAACCTCTCAGTACCCGGGTGCAGGTTGACAATTAACCAGAGACAAACAAATTAAGAGCCAAGCATGGAGATGATGCAACTTCCTGCAGGCCCCGGGAGGCCACGAAATACCTGGGCAATCAGCTAGAGCAGGTGATGTCACCCAGAGAAACGCTGGCTCACAGAGACCTTGGTAGTCACGGGTCACATGACCTCTGGTCACGTGGGTGGGGGTTTCCCCTCTGAGCTCAGGGTTTCTGCCCAGAGAACCCAAACACAAACAGAAACTGTCCTGTCACCATGAAATCTGCAATTCATGCCACAGTTTTTCTCCTCCATGTTTTCCTCTCAGGAAAGACCAGGAGCGAGCTTACCGAGCAGAACCAGTCCTCCCGGGATGAGGCCTGTGTGGCACTCTGGCAGGAAGTCACTGGCAGCTCTGTGACCTTGGGCAAGCTTTTTGTAGGCTCTGAGCCTCGATCCACACATTTGCAAAATGGAGACAAAAATTCCAACTCAAAGGGCTGTTATGGAAGCGAAATCATAGTCACAAAACAGGGCTGCATGCAGTGGGTTACTTAAGAAAGTTCCTTTCTGGGCTGTTAATCACATCTGTCTGGCTTAGCTCCTAGGAACAGGTAAGGTGATAATGTAGAGAAAGACTCCAGAGAGCAGAGAAAATTCACACTGAAATCCTGCTGGTGAGGAAAGAGTTCCAGAAGATACAAAACCAAGTTGGCCAGCACAGCAGTTTCCCCTGTGTCTTGTCCCTGTGGGTCCATCTTGGGCACAAGTGTCAAGGCAGAATGTTACTTCCATAATAGTGTCTTGTTTGTAGGAGTAAACAACTGCAAAGCACAGACTGTAAACGACTAATTTGTGCTAATAAAAAAAATCACCAAGGTGAGTGCAGTGGTACAAGCCTATGATCCCAGCACTGGGGGAGGCTGAGGCAGGAGGATTTCAAGAGCGAGTCCTGCCTGGGAAACTTAGTGAGACCCTGTTTCAAAAGTTTAAAAATAGGGGGGCAGTGTGGAGGCGGGGCTGTAGCTCAGTAGTAGAGCCACTAGGTTTGATCCCCTAGTAGTAGAGGAAAAAAATTGCCACTTATGAGTTTAGAGGCCGTGCCAAGGCCCCTCAGTACAGAGAGGCACAGTGCTGGTGCCTCGAGGTCTCTCCTTTTCGTGTCTTGGAGGAGGCCGCTGAAGCTTGGACCGGTCAGAGTCTGGGCTGGTGTTTCCCCAGGCTCACCGGTGGTGTTTGCTTTACCAGCAGGAACCAGTCTCCTGTTAACTCAGGCCTCATGGCTGAGCTGGGTGACGCACAGACTGCCCACCTCAGCGTCTACACCCAAGTCGGGGTCACTCAGGGCAACCTGAGGCCAGGACACTGCTGCCCTAAGCGCAGCCTCTGATTCCAGTGACCTCCAGGGCCATTGTCGCCTGCTAGGACAGTGGGGTGGGTTGGGTGGGGGGGTGTTCAGCAGCAGCTGGGACCCAAGGAGGAGCACGGAGCATTTAAGAAATGTGTTCAAAAAAGAAAAAAAGAAATGTGTTCCTCTCAAAACAACGGCCTCAGATGTGTCTGGGTGGTGACAGCCATTTCCAGCCACCCTGAGCGTTATCAGACTGAGGTCAAGGATAAACCCCATCTTCTCACTGACATGAAACAACTGATGTTCCCACCTGCCGTCCAGATTTAGTGAACGACACCCTCACTGACCTCAGGGACAAAAATGGCAGCAGTCAGCACTCGGGAGGCTGAGGCAGGAGGATCATGGCCAGTTTGAGACCAGCCTGAGCTACAAAGCGAGCTCAAGGCCAGCCCGAACTGCACGGCGAGATCCTGTCTCAAAAAAACAGATAGCAGTAATAAATGAAATCAGAGGAACCCTGGATCTCTAGGCTGGCCTTCACAGGTAGGATTGATGGCCCTGGGGGCCCAGGCGTGGAAGGTGAGGGTCAGAGAGGGCAGGGTCCTTCCTTATGCCACCAGCTCCTAAGGGACCATTTGACCCTGCATGCAGCTCTGCATGCAGTCCTAGCCCCTCCCAGAGGGGGGCGCTGTTCACAGCGACTACCGGGCAGCACCGAGCTCTGGGACCCTAGAAGTTTGCGTGAAGCCCGGGGCTCTTGGAGATTCCCCTCCTCCCTGCCCCATCCTCCCATCCCCTGCCTTGTCCACCCACCCCGGATTCCCCAACAAGAGGTTCTCCACCCTAAAAATGGCTCCTTTGGTTTTCTGCTTGATTGTTTACTTTGTTATGGGAGTGAGTGCAGAACTCATTAAATCCTTTTGGGAATGAACTGTAAGTCAGTAAGGGGTCTCCACGCTTCCAAATCTCCACCTGGAGCAGTTGCAAGGGGCCTCTGGCCCCAAAAGTGGAAAATACCCACTGGCACACCCTTTGCAGAAAGGGGGTACGCCCCCTGACACAGGCCACCCCCGCAACCAGCTCTGGCCACCTCTGCATTGTTTAAAAATGTACAACCTAGTTTGTGTTTTTGTTTTGTTGTTATGGGGGATTGAACTCATATCCTCATGCTTGCCAGGCAGGCGCTTGCACCACTGAGCTAAATCCCCAGCCTTGTACAACTTAGTTTAAGCTTATTTTGAAACTTTAAAAGAGAAAAACAAGTCAAGTGCACCCACCTGTGGGATGCAGGTGTGCATCCCACACCTGCAATCCCAGCACCCTTAGAGGCGAGGCAGGAGGATCCCAAGTTTGAACTCAGCCTGGCAACTCATGGACTTAGTGAAGCCAGGTCTCAAAATTTAAAATAACTCAATAGCTAAAAAATAAGTAAGAATGGGGTGGTTGCTCAGTGCAGAACCCTGGGTTCCATCCCTAATACTCTCCCTAACATGGGGGAGAAAAGAGCTGGCGTATAGGAGGGTGTCACAGTCACACCCAAGTACTGCGCTGAGTTACACAGACAAGGGAACCGCGCTTCCTCCGATGTCAGCCAATGACATTGGCTTGAATGAATGAACAAAGGAGCGGATGGGTCTTTCTCAGCAGAGAATTCAGTTAACCAGTGTTCGGAAGCACCACGGAAATACAAAAATTCCACTTGGCAGATGCGGAAGTGCTCGCTCTGATCTCGCACGGCCCTGGAGACACGTGGTGGTGGGATGGAGCGGGTGTGGTGACATTGAGGTGCTCCCTGGAAGACACTCAGGACCTCCCAGGGGGACATGGTGACCTCACGGTGGCAGACACCAGCTTCAACAGTGACCATGGCAGATGACCGAGCACCGCGATCGCAGGAGAAGGACACAGCTC